ATTAAGAACGCGTTTTAGTATGCCGCCGAAAAGCTTATAAAAGCTTAAAGAAGGACTAATTCGACGATGATTATTGCTAGTTGATCTTTTATATTAAGCTTATTCTTTTAAAAATATACATACTATTATGCGATAGCTTCATTTCTTTTATAATAATAAATTAAAAGCTAAAACGTTTAGACGAAAAATAAAAATCTATTATTAATTTAAACCTTTAAGTAAAAGCATTCGCAGCTTATTATTCGAGTGACGAAAAAGCTTATATAGCTAATCGATAAGCACTTTATAAACGAGCTCTTTTAAGTTAATAATTACGTAATCGTCGCCGGTCTCAATCTCTTAACTTTAAAGCTGAATGTTTTAAATGCGGTTTTAGCAAGCATGCTAGTCTTATATATCAATTCGTTAAGATTAGTTTCAAGGCTATTAAAGCTGCTCGTATTTTTAAAGAAAGCGAAAAGCTTAACGAAGTATTACGGATATACTAATTATTATTACTTAAAAGACGACCGATATCTTTTGCCTTTTTATATAAGAATAACTTTTTATTATTTAAATCTAATTAGCGTGCTCGAAGCAGATCTAATAATGCTCGTAAAAATAAGAAAGGATTCGCTGCTGATATTGAATCCGACTCTTTAAGCGAAGTCTTCGATATCGAAAAGTTCGCTAGCTTATCTTAAAAGAAGCGTAGTAAGCTCTTATTTATATTAGCCGCCGTCGATACTAAATGTACTAACTATATAACTGATTCTTTATTTTTATTTAATAAGCTATTAACTTTATGCCGAAAAGAGATTTAAATCGAAAGAGGAAAGCTTTATTCGGATAGTATTAATACTGCTAAGATATTATTATAAAAAAGCAAGATTATTTATTTAAAAAGTACATTGCATATCTTTAGCTTAAGATGCATATTAGTATCGGCAAAGAAGCTCGCTAGTTTTAATATTATAAAGCAATTCGATGATTAAAGGATAATTTTTATACGTAAGTTTAATAATATACTTTTAATTAAAGCTAAAGTGCAAAATAAATTGTATATTTTTTCGAAGTTCTTTAAAAAAGCTAACGAGATATCTTTTGCTATTAAGAATATACGCTACACCGACCGCGACGATGCTATCGCTAGCGTTATACTTATATACGTAGATTAAATTGATCTTTCTTTTTAAATAAACTCCGTTAGCAATTAAACTTTATCAAGACTTTTAAGATTATGCTTTTCGAAGCGTACTCGATACTTAGCTAGATATGCTGCTTTTAAAGCGGCAAAAGATCTTTTAATTGCTACCGCTAACTTTTACGAAGCTTTAAGTAGTGATAGCGAGATCTCTTTAATAGATAATCAAGACTTTAACGAAGTAGAACGTTTACCGCTCGCTTCGGAATTTAAAGGTTTTAAAAAGAGTATATCGAAGAAAAAAAAGAACAAAGTAATACGCAAGATTAGAAAAGTTGCTATCTAGCAAAGCGAGATTCGTTTTAAAGCTACTCTTTTTATATTAAAAGAACGTCGCTTATAACGAAAGCTCTTTCGTTTCGTTGCTTATTATAAGCGCTTCAACTATTATAGCACCGAAGCGCTTTTATTATTATATATAATAACGGACATTAAGAAAATTATAATCTCTTTAATTATCTTTTTATATAAGTCGTACGCTCGATAAAAGATATTCAAAAAAAAGCTTAAAAAACTCGCCGAGCATAGTATTACGATACTTAAAAAGCTTAATTTCGACGTAGCTAATCTTTTCTTATTATTTATAAAAAGCTATCGATACTTTAGCGAGCTTATAAATAGCTAGACTCGTAAGACTTAAACCTTTTCATTTCGAGATCGAAAGGAAATTAATAAAGCATTAATTACGAAGAAGAAAAAGCTTAAGCGATAATCAAGCTAGCTTCTTTTAGCAATAAATACCGATAACGCGCTAGAAATCTTTAAGATTATAATTACGTTAGCTAAAGCAAAAAGAATATCTATTTATAATACGGAACTTTATTCGTTATATTAAAATAGCTTTGCAAAGCGCTTTATCAAGACTACCGAGCACTTTATTAAGATAGCACTTGATAACGTTAAGTTGCTTATCGAGTTTTAATATAAAGCTGCTAAAGCGTAAGCATACATTCGTGCTAAGCTACGCCGAAGATTTAAAGTAATAAAAGATGTTATAAACGGAGTAACGAAACAACTTTTTCGTATCGAATATAAGATATCTTTTTAAGAAGCTTAAACGAAGAAAGTATTAAAAGTCAAGGATTATATCAAAACATAAGGCTGCAAAGTTATTGCTTACGTTTTTCGAAAATCTCTTTCGGCTAAGATTAAAAAAAATAAGTTTATACTTTCGAGTAAAAAAAAGATATTTATAAGTTACGACGAAAACACTACTTCTTACTATAAAGTGTACATTCTCGAAATGCATAATATTATTATCTCGTTTAACGTTAAGTTCTTTAAAAATATTTTTAAAAAAGCAATCGAAGATTTTAAATTTTAAGTTAAACTATCCGACGGTACATTTTAAGTATTAAAAAGCACGTACAATCAGCACGTCACTCGTGCACGTAAAAGACGATTAAGATTTATAAACCTGCTTATAATAGACTTAATGCGCAAAAAGTAAATTAAGTATCTTTTAAACTTCGTTATAAGAGTTAAGAAAGGATTAGCTTTTAAAACTAAAGATTATTTACTTAATAAGACTATTAATTATGCTTTCGGAATGCCGTCTGCGCCGATAACGACACCTTTTTGCGTTATACGATCTTAAACGAAAAATGCTATTCTTCGAAATAAAAAACTTAAAAGAGCTAAGTCTATTTCGCTTTTACAATTAATATCGCTTATTGCCGAGACGAGATTAAGCGAGAGCTTTGTTAATAGATTAAATAATCTAACTCTTTTTAAGCAAAATCACTAACTTGCATAAGTTACTTTTTAAAAGATTATCGGAACAAAGAAGAAGGCCGATAAAAAGCTTTTTTATGCTTTTAAAATATTAATCTAGCTTCGATAAAGCTAGACTTTATTCGATTCGGAATTAGATAAGCGTACGAGTAATGCTTTTAATCTCGATAAGCGATACGCTAAGACTTCTACGTTTTAAACCTCGCTTATTATAAAGAAAAGAAAAGGCTTGTTATTAATAAAAAATAAGAAAGCAATATTAATTATTTTCGATTAATTTAATAACGCTAACGGTATATCGGATGCTAAAAAGATGGCAATAATAGCGCACGCGGTTAAACACGATATTTTTATTTTTATTACTTATAAAAAGGCTATAAAGCATCTTATATACGGCAAAAAGTAAAAGGAAGCTATTGATGCTGAGTTTATTGCGCTTATTATTAATTATACATAAGAAAAACGCATCTTCTTTCTCGAAGCTAATTTTATTAGCTGCAAATAAGTATTTACACTTAAGTTTAAAGCAGATGAAACTTTCGAACGCTTTAAAGCTAAGCTCGTAGCGAAAGGTTTTTCTTAAATATATAGCGTTGATTATAACGAGACATTCGCATTTACAATTAAAATAGCGACCTTTAAAGCATTCTTTGTAGTAATTGCTTGTAAAGATATAAAGACACGCTAATTCGATATTAAAAACGCTTTTATCGAATCTACACTTAAAGAAGAGCTATAGATAAAGATGCCGAAAGGCTTAGAACGCACGAAGCGAAGATCCGCGCTCCGATTATTATAATTTTTATATAGTTTTAAACAATTTGCACGCGACTAAAACCTTTTAATAAAAAAAGAGCTTTTCAATTAAGGATTCGTATAAAGCAAAGCAGATCTTTATTTGTTCGTCCACTTAAAAAAAAAGATTAAATTATTAATATACGTAGACGACTTAGTTATAGCTATATTAAATGCTAAAGAGCTTGATTAGTTTAAAGACCGCTTATAGTCACGGTTTATTATTAAACCGATAAAAAAGATATCGATGATCTTCGGAATTAAAATTATTAAAAATAAAGCGAAGAAGATTATTAAGCTTAATTAAAAGATTTACTTAAACAAAGTCTTAAATAAGTTTAGAATCTCGAACTTAGTTTTTAACGTAAAAAATGTATTTACGCTTATAAATAAGTATACCGATCTCCGCTTAGCTTCGGACTAAGATAAGAAGGTCGATGCTATTTAATACCGTGAAGTAATTAGTTTATTAATATATACGATAGTATATATACGCTTAAATATCGCTTTCGCACTTAATCGTTTAAGCTAGTATATGCAAAATCTAGCAAAGCACTACGCTTTAGCACTAAAGCGCTTGATGCGTTACTTACGGTTTATTATATCTTTCGCTATTTCTTTCGGCCTTTTAAGAAACTTAATAATCTATTCGAATATAAATTACGATAGCGATAAAGATAGCAGAAAGAGCATCTCCGCTGCGGTAAGCTTAATAAAAAGAGGCTTTGTATTCTTCGAGAACCGCAAACAAACTTTTATAGCTACGGTTATTATAAAGGCCGAGTACGCAGCTATATATTACATCGCAAAGCAAAGCTAATAAGTCGCTTAGATTCTTTAAGATATAAGATTCGATAGCTATATCGCTAAAAATCATTAAACTATAAAAATAAAAGGAGACAACTAAAGCGCTATTGCACTCGCTAAGAACCTTTATCTTATAAAACGATTAAAGCATATCGATATCGTTTATTATTACGTTCGCGACTTAATAGACTAAAAGAGGTCTTCCGTATTTTATATACTTATAGCAAAAATGGCCGCCGATAGCTTTTCTAAACTATTATCGAAAGTCTTATTTCAAAGATTTATTAATATAATAAGCATGATTAATCGATCGAGGCTAGTATTAAATTCTTAAATACGCGAAGGACTTCGCTTAGCTTCTTTATATATTAAAAGAAGAGATTTGTTCTCTCGACAAGACAAAGAAGCAATAGGAGCAGTAGGAGCTATTAGCAGCACTAAAGTAAGAGTGTTAAAGTAAAGAATTCTTACTCTATAAAGTCTATGCTATTGCTGCTAAAGAACGCTTGAAGAGATAGATAATGACTGCTAGTTAAAAGAAAGGATAGCTAGCTAACGTAGAAAGAGAATTGTATACAGTTCTCTTTCTTCTTGTAAGGATTCCTTCTTCTTTAGACAACCGAAATCAATACTTTTAGAACCACCTTCTGCTTCCCTATCATAAAGAAGAATTATCTTCTTACAAAAATCAAAACTAAAAAAGGCAAAGATCAAAAGCGTCGAAATACTATATTTCCCGCGAAAAAAGCCTTGATTTAGGTTTTGACCTTGATTCTGATCTTGATTACTTCCTGACTTTCTTACTGACTTACTAACTAACTTACTACTTTACTAGCAGTAGCAATACCACTATTATCATCTACTTTCTAAGGAAAAAAAAAAAAAAAAATTGGAAGATCTTCTGCTCATACTTATTTTTCTCTCAGCTCTCTTCTGCTTCCCCATCTCTTAGCTCCTTATCCTCCCCTTCACCTCCCTCCCTCCTTCCCCTTCCCCCCCTTCCCCCCCCCCTCCAACCCACGAACCCACGAACCCCTTCTATTACCTCGACCTTCCATTTAAACCCTCAAGCAGCAAGCTGGTAAGAAACTTTCTTCGAAGACTATTAAATCCTCCTACTTACTATTCTACTTATCTTTCTACCTTAACCCCCCCTTCTCC